ACAGTAGCAGCCCTGGGGAAAAGAGGTATTGGTCAATGATGGGTGACCGCCACCGCGCCACCGCCTCGGCGACCAGTATGACTAGCCGCACGTCGCGCCTCCGCGCCGGGGCGGGGCGGGGCGGGGCGGGGCGGGGGTGCGGTGGTGTGCAGAAGCGGCCGCGCACACAGACACAGGCGGGGTCTCACCGACACGACGATGGCGGCCTCCACGGCCTCCGCGGCCTCCGCGGCGCGACACACGACCCTCCCAAAGGCCGACTCGCGCCGACTGCAGGCAGACTGCAGGCGCGGTTGTGTTGTGTTTTCAGTAAAGGAAAAGGAAAGGGAATGCCGAGAAAACAAACAAAACGAAGATGAAAATGACAAACGACGGACAAGTGACGCAGCGCATCTTGACGGACAAGGCGGCAAGGCGGGGCTGACTGGCTGGCGGACTGACTGACTTGCTGACTTTGCTGCCTGCCTGCCTGCCTGCATGACTGACTCCATCGGACTCTATGACTGACTCCATCGGACTCTATGACTGACTCTATCGGACTCTATGACTGACTGACCGACTCTGACTGACTGGCTTGCCAACTGAGTGGCTGCCGGACTGGCTGACTGAATGGCTGGCTGCCGGAGGTTGTGGACGCGGACGCTGCGCCACGCTGCGTGAGTGCGTGAGGCATTGCAGGGCGCCCCGGGGCCCGGGGCTGCGCGGACCCTGGCCGCCCGCCACAATGCCATCCAACGCCATCCAATGCCACTGGCCAGTGCGCCTCCGGGCCTCCGGGCCTCCGGGGAAGGACGCCGCGGACGGAACCTCGGCCGCCCTGCAGGCTCATGCCGTCAGTCTCTGTCGCACTCGTGGGCCGTCCCGCCCCGGTCCCGTCGGAGTGCGATGCGAGAGAGAGAGACAGCGCGACGAAGGCTGTCCGGAATCTGGCTGCCCCCGAACGGAACGGGCCGAACAGGAATGGCGGGACGATGTCCGATCGGTGCAGCAGGTCCTGGATCTCTCGCGCGAAGCGAAGCGCCAGGACGCCGGGCGCCTGACCCCGAAGGATCGTTTCGTAAGATGGTTTCGTCGCTCGGTCTCTGTCGCTCCCCTACGATACGCCCCATGAGTGCGACAGAGACAGAGCGACCCTTCGGCGTATCGGAATCGGGTGGCAGCCTCGTTCCGGGACAGTTCATGGTCATGGCGCTCTGGACTTGGCTCCGGCGAGGGTCATCGACCACGCTTCCAAACAGCCGGCCAGCCTCACCCCGTTCTAGAACACGTCCAGCGTGGTGGACACCACGTGCGCCACGCCGCGGAGGGACCCAGGGTTCGATACCCGGCGACGGCGTCCTACTGTTTTTCTCTCTCTTTTTTTTTAAGTCGCCGCGGAGCATCGTGACGACCTGGCGTGGCGTATGCCCGGGACCCGGGAGTCCCCGTCGCGTGGCGCAGTGTGTGTTTAGGCGCAGAAATTGCAGGCTGCAGGAGGCTCGCTCTGTCTCTGTCGCACTCACGGGGCGTCCCGTAGAGGTGCGAGAGAGACAGCGCGACGAAAAGCGATTCATCGGAATGGCTCGGCGACTTTGCGGTGGCGGATATTGTCGCGATGCGTGCTGCGCCGGCTGCGCCGTGATAGCGTCAGGCGCTGCGCTCGCTTCGCTCCGTCTCTCTCGCACCCACGGGGCGTCCCGTAGGCGCGAGAGAGACGGATGCTGGGTCGGAGTTGGCCTGCAGGGGTCCGTGGCGACTGGTGACGCTTGACGCGCTCGAAGCTCGAAATGCGTCCGCACTGCGTCCGCCCGTCCGCCGCCAAGGCCGCCCCGCGGTCGCCCTCCGCGTCGCCTGCGGCAGACCGACTCCGAGAGTCGTTCTCATCGCTCTGTCTCCCTCGCACCCATGGGGCGTCCCCTTGAGGTGCGAGGGAGGCAGAGCGACGAAAACGACTCTCGGAATCAGTCTGCGGGTGGATCAAGAAGGGGTACTACACGGTGTGGTCGCGGCGCGCCGGGGGGATCCCGGAAAGCACGCATACAGTGTGGTGGCGGCGTCGACTGCGGTGTCGATTATTTTGACAGGTTTTCGTGTTCCGCGAGCTTCAGAGTGGATTCCGACTGTTTCCGCGACTTGCCGTGTGGTGGGCGGTATTTTGACTGAAATTAAGGAATTCCGGAATTCCGATGCGCACGCATCCGTATTTTTCACACCGACCGAAGAAAATATCCTCTGTAGTCATAAAATAAAGTGACGTCATGATATACGGACTTCGTTAACTTGAAACTTTATTGACTGACCCGGGTGGCTCTGTACAGCACTGCTACGTTGCACACAGCTACACCGTAAGTACTGAACTTGCGGACCGAGAACTGCACCGGACGCGAGCAGACTGATTCCGAGAGTCGTTTTCGTCGCTCTGTCTCCCTCGTACCTGTACGGGAGGCCCCATGAGTGCGAGAGAGACAGAGCGACGAAGACGACTCTCGGAATCCGTCTGCAGGGCAGGGCGCGGCATGAATATGCAGCAGCCTCGCACATTTCTACCATTTCCATTCAATCGGCGCGCGGCCAGGCGGGCAGGGGGTTAGGCTGGAAAGCCCGCTTCCGGGACCGTCGCGGCACGCATGCCGCGTGCGGCGTTTGAATTCGGCAGTCACTAAGTACGGCCACGGCATGTCGTTATCACCCGCTCACGTACCCACACACTCACACACGGACACACGCACACACGCACGCGACGCTTTCACTCCTTCGCATAGCACTGTATGGCGATGAGGCGCGAAGGGGGCTTCGAAGGTCGCGGGCGTCAAGGGAGGACTAGGTCGTGTCGTGTCTGTTGGCGCTCGCAGTGGTGCGTCGTGCGTCCCCGACCCGCCGCGGCCCGGTTCCGCCACCGCAGGCGACCAGGTAGCAGGTGACACGCAACACGCCACGCCACGCCACGCCACGCCGCGGTCACGGCCGGCTAGATGAGGCGTGGGTGTAGGCCGTGCTGGCCTGCCCGGTGCATCCTTAGGAGGCGGTGCAAACGGTGCATGCGCGGCTGCGTGGCCCACGCGACACATGCACCACGCGACGCCGGGTTCGTTCCGCGAAGTGTCGTTTTCGTCGCTCTGTCTCTGTCGCTCTCGTGGAGCGGCCCGTTGGGGTGCGAGAGAGACAGAGCGATGAAGCGCTCTCACAGGGTTTGCAGTCGTTCGCGGCGGGGCGAAGGACGAGGTGTGGCATGCAGATGGACTTCCCTGGCCCTGGCTTCCGCGGTCCGGCTGGAGAGACTAGGCCGTTCCGGAGAGAGAGATGAGAAGAGAGGAGGGAGGGGAGAGAAAGAGAGGCACGCGCCGAAAAAAGCCTCCAAACGGGCGGGAATCGGTGAGACCCTGATGGGTGAGATACCCACAGCAGAGTGACTCCGAGAGTCGTTTTCGTCGCTCTGCCTCTCTCGCGCTCATGGGGCGTCCCGTACAGGTGCGGGAGAGACAGAGCGACGACAACGACTCTCGGGATCACTCTGCAGACTGGCTGATGGCCGTCCGCCGTCCGGGTTTGGCGGGTCGCTTCCGCTCCGCCTAGGCGAAGCCATGGCGAAGCCTGCCCGCCAAATGCAGTCCGGACGGGCCGGACACCGCAGCGCCCATTCAATCTTCCCGATTGAATCTTCGTCGCTGATTGCGAGCGGCGGGCCGTGCCGTGCCGTGCCCTTGCAGTGCGTAGGTGCTAATCGGCCGGCCAAACAGCCGAGCCAATCAGCAGATCGGTTCGTCGCTCTGTCTCTCTCGCACCCTTGCGGAGAGCCCCATGAGTGCGACAGAGACAGACTCGGCAGGCAAACAGGCAATCCCACGCGGCGCGCAAGGCGGCGCGAGACGTGATGATGTGTAAAACAAACACTCTCGCGACATCCGCTGCCGCGGCCCGCCGCTGCCGGGTATGACGACCAATACTCATTCAACACACATCGGGATTGTCCCGCCGCCTCCGCCGTCCAGGAAGCTGAGGCTCCACGGCCGGCGGGGCGGGGCGGGGTCCAGGTAGCCCCAGAGGTGTGGGTGATTCACTCGCACCGAGACGCACGGCTACTCGCTTCGGCACTCACTCGACAGTGTGCCAGAAGTCGTTTTCGTCGCGCTGTCTCCCTCGCACTCATGCGGCGCCCCGTTCAGGTGCGAGAGAGACAGCGACAAGATTGACTCTGCGAGTCGGTCTGCAGGACAACCAGGGTTTATGGTCCGCGCCGTCCGCTCCGCGCTGCAGGCCGACGACGTCCACAGCGACCCGCGGGGTAAACGACCCGGCGTCGCGCACCGAGTGTACGGACAGGTCAGCCTGATTTAATCCCGATGCCCGACTCTCTTTAGTCTTTTTGGATTGTTTCGTTGCGAAAGGGACAGCGGTGATAAAGTAGAGGGAGCGGGGGGCATTCTTAAGTCGAGTCGACTGAAACTATTTGGGTTTATTTTACCCTCGCAAGGAGCACTTGTTGTGATTGAGTTTTAGAGTACTTTTAACCGATTTTCGGTCAAGTTTCTTTTTGATTGATAATTTGTTTTTTAGAAGTGGTCCTACGCTCACGTTGCGTATGACCTTCACTGGACTGTCCTTCAAGGGGTTGCGGAAGAAAAGTACAAGGCTAAGAAGGAACACCCTTCCCTTATGGCACTGGATATCTTGGCTGTGAGCCATCCCTCGGCCTGCTATTAAAACTAAACGTGAAAAATATGAGTCTGAAATCCCTGACAAATTGATGTTGAGGTCTGTGGTAGTAGACCACAGTGGGTGCACTTTTCTTAGCTTGTGCTTTTCTTTCACTATACTCATAGGAGAAGCACGCTGGTATTCGAGAGCCCTAGTCTGTGACATACTCCAGCCGCGCCCAGATAGGGTCCTACAGTGCAGTACAAGGTGGGCACTTATAAGTGCACCCTATATTAGACCCTGTAGTACGACCCTATAGGGTCTTGTGGGGGGTCCCACAGTGTAGGACTCCGAGTGCAGCCTCCCGCTCGTCCTCGTGGACTCACCTGTACCGCCGCGGGGAGCAGGTCTGGGGCTCCACGGAGAGGGCGTCGAGCATCCTCAGGTAGTACAGGACCAGCATGCGTGCCAGCTCCATGACGGGTAGCTCTGCGTCGGCGGGGACGGGGTGCACGGGGTGGTAGGGGTGGACGCGGTGGCGTTCGAAGGCACAGGGAGTTCCTCCCGTTGCGCGGAGCCCAGCAGAACGACGGCGACGTGCCTACGTCAGTGGACGTGGGAAGCTGATTTCGATTTCGTCAACCGCTTCCCGGTGACGCGCCGAAAAGATCGCCGAGGTGAAGACAAGCCGAATCTCTACGCCGAGGGGCCGAGTGAGCTACGGGCCTTGTCAGCTGGGCTGGGGCGGGCAGGGGCAGGCGCCTGGTGTGCGCTCGGGTTCGCGGCCAACAACAGACTGATGCGGGACGCGCCGAAGCCGAAACCCGTCCAGGCAAGAGCACCTCGCCCGCACCTCCACTACCTCCACCTCCACCTCGGCGCGCGGGGGCCGCCGGCGAGCACGGCGGCCGGGGAAGTCCCCCCTCCCCCTTCCTTTTCCCAGCCCGCGTGCCACGCGAGCCGCCACTACGCCGCACAGTGGGCCAGAAGACCGGTGGGGGCGGTCAAAATCCCGGACGCGTTTTGAGCTCCAGATGATGTGGAAAAAGGGAAACAAAATCAACACTTTTCACTGAAGAAAATGAACGGGTCATACATTTAATCAAACTTCAACTTGAAATTCATTTGGCCTTTTTCCCTTCTAAAAGAGTAAAATTAAAAATCACATTAAAGATCTGAATTATCAGGGAACACAAAGGTTCGGCTACACTTCACTTGACTTCACTCCAGAGAATCTTCGTCGTCACAAGCATCGATGTCGACGTCTTCAATGAGGAGCTCCATGTCTTGGACTCTCGAAATCCCAGCGACGGCGGCTATGGCCGATTGAGACTCCACTGCACTCAGAGGGTCCATCAATGTTTGCATGTTGGCTTCTACTTGTTGTGGTGGAACTTGATGGCCAATTTGGATGTGCTTTGTACAGTCAGATCGCAATCGGAACTGACGATTGCAAAGCAAGCATTTCCAGGGCTTCTCTCCAGTATGAACCCTTGTATGGGTCCGCAGATTATCGATGCGAGAGAATTTCTTCTCACAAAATTGGCATTTATAAAATTGGCTGGGGTCATTATGGATCTGAAAAGAGATTTAAAAATAAATAATAACAACTGGAACAAGAGTGGATAGTCATAGCAAAATTCATGAGGTTAAATACAGTCTGGGTACAGATACTTACCAGTTTGTGCTGCTTCAGAACATTTCTACTCCTGAAACCTTTATCACAAACTTGGCACTTGTAAGGACGCTCATTAGTATGGGTCAGTTCATGGTTCCTCATCCTTTCTTTAACCATGAAACCAGCCCCACACACCGAGCAGTTGTATGGACGAAGCCCTGCATGCCACATGTGGTGGTGTCGCAACAGTGTTGAGTTGAGAAAAGCTTTGTTGCAACGATCACACTCAAACTTCTTTGCTGCCGGGATGCTGCCCCTCTCATAGGCATGATCGTCACTATAATGTCGCATAAGCTCCCTCATGGTGGGAAACTTCACAACAGTTTTCGTATTAGCCAAACAGAACCTACAAGTGAACATGCGTGCTTTTCCGGAAGTATTCCTTCCCTCAGCCGTCCTGTGAAAGCATAGCAACGTGAGATACAGAAAAAAAATCCTAATTTATTCAAAGCCAGGGAATTGATTTCATAACAAGAAAGGAAAATAAAACCTTTAATTTTTACCTTGGAGTTTTTGGCTTGGTGTGGCTTCTCTCATGAATTCTAAGATGATCTGGCCTATGAAACCGACTTGGGCAAAATTTGCACTGAAGCTTTCGTTCCCCATGCAAAATTTCATGCTGACGCAATCCACCTATGGAGCGGAAGGTTTTGCCACAGGATGAGCAAATGTACTCCTGGGGCGTTTCGTGCTTCTTCACATGTTCTTGGTATCTGTTTCTGTAAGAAGCCAAAATTTATTCATTAGCAAAATGGCGTTACAGAGAAGAAATATAATTGAGTGATACAAACACAGAATACTTACTTAAGTTTGAAACGTTTTTTACAGGTTGAGCACTGATAATTGTACTCATGTGCTAGTTCATCATGGCGTGCTATATGAGATCGGTAATTTGATGCAGATTTCAATACTAAACCACAAATGTCACAGAGCCAAGAAGTTCTCTTTACATGACTATGCATGTGTTCCACCATTAGCTCTTCAGAAGGGAATGTTCTACAGCAGACAGTACAAGTTCGTGGACCTACTGGAGGTCCTTCTGCTGAGCCAGACTTATCCTTACAGACAGTCACATGGCGTTTGAGGGACTCCTTAAATTTAAATCTTCTGAAGCACCGAGAGCATTGGTACTGTCTGACGGGTAGCCTCTTGACAGGATTGACTCGCCATGAAATAGGTGGTTTTTTCTTCGGAACAAATGAAGCTGGTTGAGGTGTACCATGAATTACAGTCATGTGCTCATGCACTTTGGAATCTTTTAAGAAATACTTTGAGCAAATTGGACATTGTAATTCAGGATGAGATGCCAGATGCATTTCTACATCTTGCCTGCACATAGGGGTATATTTGCAAACACGACAAGTGAGTACCGGCATCGCTTTTTCATTTGAACCAACATCCCAAGTAAACAACTTCTGAAGGGAACTAACAAGATAACTAGTTTTTCGCCACATGTAGCCAAGGGATAGCCTACGCGCGTTGCGCCTGTCAGAGTATTCAGTCGGTGAGTCCACAGCAGAGGGCACATCCAAAACCTTAGGTTTCAATCTCTTCCTTTCTTCTAGCTCGGGAGGGGATATGTTGTCCACTCCAACAGCAACACCATCTCTAGGAGGGATGACCATTTCCTTGGGTTTGTTGCCTTCAGAGGGTAGTGCCTTAGCTGCAAATGTTGCTTGCAGCTTTTGATGGATGTCAGCTTGACTGTCAGAGTTTCGAAGAACAATCCCTACAATTTTATCACCCAACTTAATTTGGTTTGGTGCTTTGTTAATTTTTGATACAACCGAATCCCTCATTTTAGAAATATTAATGGCAGGACTTGAAGTAACTTCTGTCGAGACTTGCTTCAAAGGCACTAATGTCGGGAGGATGGGCACCAATGGTGGAACTGGGCTTGTTTCAATTTGGTCGCTTGGCTCAAACACTGAAGGAGCATCTTCATAACAGTGAATATCATCATCTGAGTCTGCCTGCTCCATTGCTTTACTTTTGTCCAAAGTAGCTGAATTTGGCTGGACATTCAAAAAACTCAATGAAGGTGCAGGAAGGAGTTTGGGAAGCGATTTAGTTGCAGCAATTGTTACGGCAGGTGATGCTCCAGGACTACTGGTCAGAACTGTTAGGGGTCCTGAAGAAAACACTGGAGTAGTCTGAAATACGATATTCTGACCAGAGATACCAGAAACTGACCCCACCCCCGCCACAGGCTTCACAGCTAATGGTCTTAAGGTGGTTGGCACTGAAGCTTGATGAGCTGTCTTAGCCTCAACCTTCTTCAAAATGGAGGCTGAACCTCCAATCTTGAAAACCTGCTTTGAACTAGCTGGAGTTGTGTTGGCGGCTAGGAGATTTAGGACCTGCTTTGCAGTAGATAGTGGTGAACTACCTTTCTTAGCTGCAGCATTAGTCTGGACTCCTTGAGCCCCTTTGGTTGGTGAGGTTTCTTGAGCAACAGAAGTTTGTTTCTTTTCAGCACTTGGAAACAACATAGAAATAGCCTTTTTCATTTGCTCAGGGAATGCTTCTGTGCCACCTTGCAAATCAAGAAACATTATTCTTCCTTCGGGTTTTGATTCCCTTGATGCCTGCAAAAATACAATTAGCAAGGATTAGACATAAAATTCTTCAGATAAATTGTTCATGAAAAATGGAGATGGATAATGCACCTTAGGTTTTAACCTCAGTGTTAGCTCTTGAATGGCTTGACCAATCATATCTTTGACTGGAATACCTTCTCTTAGACACATTTCCAAGAGCAGAACTCTACGGTTCTGCAACCCAAAAGAAAAATAAACAAATGAATAGACAGCTCAAATACTATGAAACTCGAATGGAAAATTTTTCAAAGCAGAATTTCTCACCCCTCGACTGGCATGCTTAAGTTGTGTTGGCTTAGAATGAATGACAGGGGGGTCCGGCTCCTAGAAAGAGAAACAAAAATGACAAATTTATTATTTAACTTATAAATACTTATTACTATTACTTCATTATTATCACAGGAAACACTTATGTGTGTGAACAAAACAATAAGACTTACTTCTGAATTTTTGGCATCATTGACAGCAGAGCCCTGATTTGTCTTTTCCCATGTAGTCAGTAAATCATAAGTTGTTTTCAAACGAGGAATACATTGCCTACACACATAGAGAGGCAAAGATTGCGATTCAGACACCTAGAAAACAATTAATTGTAAAAATAGCCAACAGTATATATGAGAAGGGAATGTTAGATATAGAAAAACAAACCTTAATATGACATTTTTTCAGTAATTCTAATAAGGACAAATCTTTTCCTTCCTGTCCAAAGACATTGACATTGTTATTATGAGCTGTGCGGCAAACTCGACAAGCTCGCAGAGAATAGGCAGATATCACTAGACCGGGATTAATAGATGCTGTAGGCTGTGACTCTTCCAGTACTTTTCTTTTAAGAGATACTTCAGTCAGTTTGGTGCCAGAAGAACTGTTCTGGTCAAGTTTCATTTTAATCCTGTTTTCATTAGAAATGTTTTCCTGGGGAACAGTGTTAGTCCTGCATTCTGAAGCTACTTCAGCAAGAGATGAATCATTTTCAACAGAAATAACAGACTGTGATGGATCTCTATCTCTACCTAATGCTTTTTTAATAACACTAGGGCTCAGTACTGGTAATAGAACTGTAGCTTCAGGTAGAATTTCTGCAAATTAACCATGGAGATTATCATCATATGAATCTGAAACAGCTAGTTGAGATTAAATAGTACTGTGTGTTACCAGCCTACCTTGCTGAGTTGGGACTTTTAATGATTTATCAGCAGTATTTGTGCTTGAGTCAAGCTGCAACAAATAGCAAATTTAGTTACAAATGGAACAAAATGCAGAGCACGTGAACAAAAATCAATGAGGAGAGAAATCTACCATGAGATAATAACTGTAATTATCTCATGAATTTACCTTAGGTTTCTTGCGTGATGGAGGTTCTGGAAATTTGACTGGGAAGCTGCCTATACGCAAGCGGCCTTGTCGGTCAAAATCATCTTTCTCAAAGTGCTCGGAACAAACAAGACTACGATGTCCAGGACGCCAATTAGGTCTACCTATGTTTTCAATCCATTTCTTCAAAAACAATGGAGTTTCATGAGGAAACCTGCGATGGAATCAACTTTTTTACACAAGAAAGTAGCCTCTTTTGAATAATCCCCACAATCAAGAAGTTTGTACATCGCTGTTTTCAAAGTTGACCTCATACTGTAGGCTATACATTTACCTCTAAATAACTTCGAAAGTAAAATCAAACTCATAATGAATGGGAAATCTTATGTTTGAAACGGCCAAACACTGGGTTCTTCCATACAGAAAACACATAACCAAATAACCAAATGGAACCGACAAGACTGAACTAGTGAAACTCACGGGTGCAGAGTGATGCGGGGATCCTTGCCCGTCGCATTCAGGCAATGAGGAACCGAACAGGTTGGCATTTTCGACTCGGTCGTTGTCAGAGATTCATTTCAAATGTTACAGCTGCCTAGGCGGGATTACGCGGGAGAGGCCGTCTGGTCTAAGATCAAGAAGATATCTCCTCAAAACACACGGAGTGGCATACCATTCCATACCACCACCATAAGTTCCATAAGTGGGCATGACGAAAAATATGGCGGTCGCGTGGTGGCGCAAACTTGACAGAAGAAAAATATCAACCTCGACTTTCTGAGTTCGCTCATTTTCTCGTAAAAATTTCACCCATGACGTAATACCGCGTTTCAGAGACACTAAAATTTAAGTCTTTTTTATACCGGATGCAGTAGATATGTAAACAATCTGGATGTTAATGTCGTCGTTTAGAATGCAGTGTGTGCACAAGCTGTTATGTGTTGGTGTGAGTTGCAGGTGTCTGTGTGTGTGTGTGGACTGGTGTTGTGTTTTTCGCACTTTCAACTTTCAACGCTCGGTTATCGTACGGAGCATAGCTTCACCTTTTGAAAACTATTCGCTTAAGCAATGCCCAAAGTACGAAGAAGTCGTAAACCTCCTCCCGAAGGATGGGAACTGATAGAGCCCACCTTGGACGAACTTGAACAGAAAATGCGCGAAGGTGAGGTTAAGCCATCTTTTCCTGTCAAAACTTAGTTTGTTTACCTAGAGAAAAAAAAATCGTGCTTGTGGCAACAAAGAACCCTTATCGGGTATTTTAGAAGCTGTTTTGTGGCACGGTTTTGTGTTTATTTTCGAGTGTCTATTGTCACTTCAACTGAATGTCACGTCGTCTTTTCTTGTTTTACAGCTGAAAGTGAACCTCATGAGGGGAAGCGCAAGGTTGAAGCTTTGTGGCCAGTTTTCCGGATTCATCATCAAAAATCGCGTTATATCTACGACCTCTATTATCGACGAAAGGCTATCAGTAAAGGTACGGTGTGTCTGAAGTATTGCGACTTATTTAGAATTTCCCATAGTTGATAATTAACATTTCTTTTCTAGAACTGTACGAATTCTGTCTTAAAGAAAATATTGCTGATGCCAATTTAATTGCTAAATGGAAAAAGCAAGGCTATGAAAATCTCTGTTGTCTGAGATGCATACAGACAAGAGATACTAACTTTGGAACAAGTTGCATTTGCAGAGTACCCAAGGCCAAACTCGAGGAGGTAAGAATCATGTCTTTTCTTCTTCTATTTATCATCTTCTGGCACCATTGTAACATTGGTTTGATTCACAGGGTCGCATAGTGGAGTGCATACACTGTGGATGTCGCGGGTGCTCTGGATAACAGGAAGACTCACGGGACGCAATGTAAATAAAGTGTTGTAATTTTACTGATCTGTGACTGTCTATATCTGCTATGAAATATGGTGAGGAAATAAGTGTCCACATAAATGGCCATTCAATTTAATTTTCAATTACAGTAATTCAAAAAAATGTATAAATTATTTATCTATATCACAAGTTCTTGACATGGTTTAAAATAAATCCTGCACTTCACAACTGGTATTTCATTCTGTTTTTAAGATGCTACTCAGATAATAGTATATAAGTATTAAAAAGACTAGAGTAGCTAGATTTCAAACATGAGCAATAAATTTATAATATACCATAAACACTAAAGCTCCAATTTAAGATACACAAACACTTAAATGGCACAATGACAAACATCAATGTTCATAAAAAAAAGGGCTGATTGACAAAAATCATAAAAAGATATAATTGAAAGGTGTCTACTCAACTAGAATCTTCCAGCCATTTGATTTAAAGCTTATTGCAAAGTACAGGTTTGGCGGTGTATTGTCATCTTTTTCACAAACAGGAGTCCAGTCATATATCACAGTTTTATCTGCAGTTCCAATGTGTACTCTCAGCTTGTCTTCACGTATGTGTTCACAAAGGAAGCATACTTTGGCACCAACTTGGAGAGGAGGCAACTTCATCATCTTCTCAACACCATCAACAAAAATACTCCCTGCAACAAGAAAATTTTCAATGAGATGATGGGATAGAAAAAAAAAAAAAAAGAGGTACTTGGAATATGGAAAATGAAATGCTCACCCTCTGTGTTGAGAAATAATACTCCTGGCTGCAGCAGTCCATTGTCATATTTTGAGCTGCTACACAGAACCAAGCCTTGGTCAAGACCACCATCACCACATTCTAGAACCTGGACAAGAAAGAGGGAGATATTATGCATTGTTCAATTTCTTGTTCTATTAGAAAAACTAGCTGATGGAAGCTAAGGATACTAACAGTAAACTCGATGCAATGACCAGGTCCAAATTGGGCAGAACAGGAACAGAGCAAAGATGGTTCACCAGAAGCTTTGAAAGCAATTTTAGCATCATTGGTAATTGTATAGTGAGGATTGTCTTCTGTCCAACCTGAGTTGAAGAAAATAAAAGATTTATTTTGAACAACAGAAAGAATTACGCCACTAAAATGAGTGAAAAAATTATAAAAACTAACGGAATGGTGTGATGCTGCTGCTTCCAATCCTAGGCAAACTCCATGCACTCCAATCTGATTCTCCTTCCACAAGACAACACACTCTGAAGAAAAACATTAACATAGTTTTAGACAGAGCAAGGTACTGAAAAATGCCTGTTTCAGCCAATTATTGCACTAATAGAGGAAAATGGTGCTACCTGAAGGTATACAGTGTAGATGGTTGAAGATCTCGCACAAGATACTGAGTGTCGGGGCCTTCATATACATCATGAAAGTTTGTATTCATTAAATGAGGCTGATTACGAATATCTCCATAGGCATACTGAAGTCGAAAAGAGTGGATATCTACAGAGTGTTCGAAGTCCACCTAGAGAAACAAGAAAGGAAGATAGATGTTTAATTAGTATTACTTTGTATGGTTGAATCATTTTTAAACCTCCTAAGCGAAAAGGACTTACCTCTTCCCAGTGCAACAAGAGAGCCCCTGGCTTTTCGTCCATTTGAGTAATTTGTACAGGTCCCATCCGAGAAACTCGTCCCAAAGATTGCACACTTTTTCCAATTTGTTCTTCAAGAGAGGCAAAGTTGCATTGGAATGACACATATGGCACCTCTTCTAGCTGTGGTACAGCAGGCAGACTGTAAGAAAACAGTAATGGGTTTCAAGTAGAGGAATCTGAGCTGTAATAAATATTGAAAATAAATGGTGGTAGTAAAGCATACCTCCCAAGAAATGAGGCTTTTTCACAGAATTTTTCAGTGCTCGCAGAAATAGCCATTCCTCCAATTCTAAGTATGTCACCCCCTTCTGCTATATAAGACTTAGTGTTTGAGAGTTTTGAAGCAATCAAGCTTCGACATGCCTGAAGAGGGGACAAACCCTCATGGTGAATAGCAGCAATTTCAGCTAACAAAGCTTCTTTCCGCTTATTCAAAACTTCTAGGATAGATTCCGAGAGTTGTTTAAAAGTTTTTTCCACTTCCAAAGTACTTTGTGCTGCACTGGATTCGACCTATATCATCAAAATAGATAAAATGGAAGAATTTTAGTTGATATGACGAACTACGCCTTGATCCCATTCACCGCCAACAAACATAAGAAAAAATACCTGGTGCTCTGCTGCTTCTACCGATCGCACCAGTTCCTCTAGTCTGGAGACATATTCCTTAGCTGAATCCATTGTGTCTTTTACGGATGTCTCTGACAGACCCGACATTGTTGCAGATGAAATATCTGTTCAAATCAAAACAATGCTCATTGTGAAACCCTGCACTTCTTAGGTTAACACACAGGAGTAAAAGACTTTTACCTTTAGTGGCGGCGAGGATAGAAACTGAATTCAACTTGAAACATAACCCAAGCGCACGCCCACTTGACCGGGAGGACGAAACGTAAACAATACGGACAGTAATTGAGAACAAATATAAATATAAACAGATTCTTCTAACGCCCAACGCCTGTTGCAAATGACAAGTGACAAATTAGAAGGAGGTAGCGGATAGGCGACAAGGCGGAGCACGATGGATTGGAAGCTTCGCGTTCCGGCCGACAGAGCGCGCCACTGTCTGCGGGCAGAAAAGGGGGAACAGGTCTGTCTCTCTCGCTCTCCTTGGCTCCAGAAGCGCGTTCCTTGTTCTCCTGTTGCACTCCCTCTTCTCGCCGCCGCGGCGCGGCTTGGCGCGGCTGCCTCCCCTCCTCTCCTCTCCTCCCTCCCTTCAGTTTGAAAAGTGGAGTCGTGCGGTGCGTATCGCTGCTCGCTCGTCGTCCGGCGCGCGGCCACAGCTCAACCGAAAGCAACAAGACGCACACGGCACGGCCACGGCGCGCTCGAGGCTCGACGCAACGCAACGGCATCGCCCTGCCCTTCGCCTTTGTCGCCGCGAAACGTCCCCCCGCCTTGTTCCGCCCCTGCTTGACGCTTAACATGGGCACCGTGCGCGGGGACTGAGGACTTGCAAGCCGTCGCCGCGGCGCGAAGCGCGAAGCAAATAGCATGCCCGGGTGCGTGTGATGGTGATTGTGCGAACGACAGCGACAGTGTCCGCGACACCATGGGGGGATCTCAGTGCTCCAAAAACGAGGTGCCGCCGTGCGTCGAGCTGGACGCGGCCAAGAACACCAGCATCCGCGCCAGCATGCGCACCAAGCTGCCCATGCCCGAGTCCAGCGAGCTGGAGCGAAAATTCACCAAAGTGCTGGTGAGTAAGTGAACGTCAAGTTGTGAGAGAAGTGGCAACAGAGCGGGCAGGGGGCCGGCACCAGCACAACGGGGCCCGGCCCAGCCGCCCAGCCGCACCGGCTCACGGCGCACTGTGCCGGGCCACAGGGCCCAGCAGGCCCAGCACCGGGCACAGCGACCAGACAGCCGGCGGGCCGTCGCTTCAGCTTTTATTGTTGGCGTTGGCAGCACCGAGGCGTTGCAGCTTTTCAGCTGTCGGCTCGAGGGGGTGTCTGCGCTCAAGACACGAGTCCAGCACGCCCACCCATTCATTCCAACTGCACCGCCGCGGAGGTCCTGGACGCCCCGGCGTTGGTCGAGGACCCCGAGAGTGCCATGGAGGCGACATGGAGGGCCTTGGCGGCGGCAGCGGCGGCGCTGTGTGATGATCGGCTCCATTCCAGTGTGCCAGCATTCCAGGCGCGCCGCCAGCACCCCGCCACCCCGTTCCCCCGGAGCACCCGCACCACGGCCGCACCGGCCGCACGCAGGAACAGCATGGGCCCTTCGAAGGCGCAAGCGGACAGTGGGCCAGAAGACCGTCAAGGCGGTCAAAATCCCCAACGCGTTTTAAGCTCCAGCGTCGCTAATTGCGACTCGAACCGAAAGTACCCCATCAATGGATTGCTCTCCGAACGAGGAATCCATTGGAAGGGGTCACAAGTTCATTTCGAGTCCATTTTAGCGACCATCACACTTAAAACGCGCCTATAGAGTTTTGGCCGCCTCCGCCGGTCTTCCGGCCCACTGTGAAGCGCTGTGCGCGCCCTTGGCTGCCTTGACCGCGAACCGCGGCCGTCCGGCCGGCTGCTCGACGTCGACGTTGTCAGCGACTTGTTTTGGCGGGCCGAACCGGCACGGCGCGCCTCGCCACGGCACGGCACGGCACGGCCGCGCGTGCAGTTTGCATGATTCAGTACCGGGGAATGGAACTGCTATTTCTGTTCGGCCCTGCCGGCTGCCGCTCGCTCGCTAGTGTAGTGCTCGCTAGTGGAGGCTCTGGGCGGGTTCCATGGAAGCGGCCGCTGGCTCGGCCGCTGGTCACCACCAGCCTCTCCTCGGCCGCCTCGTTGAAGAGCCCCGCGACGGACACGCGTGCCTTTGCCGCCCCGTGCACGCGCTGCACGGCCGTGATGGACATTCCTCAGTGATTTATGCCCCACGTCGGGGCTCAAAGCCTGAGCCCGGCCTAAGCCTCACAGCCCCGCCGCGGCGCGCCGACCGGCCAGGCATCTCGTTGAGGGCTTTCTTCTTGCCGAGCGACGCCTCCTCCATCCATGGGGGCCGCGCCGCCGGCCCGGGGCGGATCTGTCTCTCTCTCTCTCTCACCTTCACGGGACGCCCCATGAGTGCGAGAGAGACAGGGCGACGAAAGCGACTCTCCGATGCTGGGCTGAAGCTGAAAAGCACCGGGCTGCGCCTCGAAATGAGTGCAGCACAGCCGTCCTGATGCCGGCCGAGCTTTCCGCACAGCGCTGTCGTGGCTGTCTCTGTCTCTGTCGCACTCTTGGGGCGTCCAGTAATGCGAAGATGTTCGGAATCAGTCTCCAGCGGTCGACAGAAGCGACCAGTCATCGCCAGGGACACTCAACAACACATCCCGGAGGGGGCAGGCCTTGCATAAACCCCGTCCTGATTCTGGTCCCGGCCCTCTGGAGCCCTTTGGCCGAGCACCTGCCCGGCAACCCTTTTCGACTCCAGTGAGCTCACTCACACCTGTGAAAGAGGAGCCCGGCAGACTGATTCCGAGAGTCGTTTTCGTCGCGCTGTCTCTCTCTTGCTCCTGCAAGGGACGCCCCATGAGTGCGAGAGAGACAGCGACGAGAACTGACCGAAGGCCGCGGAAGGCCGGCCTGTTGTTTGGGGCGAACGCCAAACCGGGCCGGGCGATTCCATTTTTGATGGCACGGTGGCACGCTGCCGTGCGGCACCTGCCGCGCACACTGCGCGCACGACACGCCACGTGACGTCACCAAGCCCGAGGGACGGACGGACACGATCAGCTGGCGCGTCGGACGAGACGAGGCTCCCCGTGTTGGCCGTGGGATATCAAGTTCGGCCGTGTTTTTGGGGTTCCTCCTCGCCTCGCTCATCGCACGCTACACCGACTGTCTCCTTGGCCACGCCGGCGAAGCCCTCGCTGGACTCGCGGACCAGCAGCGGAGAGTCGTTTTCGTCGCGCAGTCTCTCTCGCACCTGCGGGGGGCGGCCACGAGTGCGAGAGAGACAGAGCGACGGAGGCGACTCTCGGAATCGGTGTGCAGTGTCGGCGGCATCTTGCGCCACATCAAGGAGTGCCTTGTTGAGCTGAATGGAGCCCTTGGTCCCCTTGGAGATGACGTTGCGCAGCAGGCTGACTCCGAGAGTCGTTTTCGCCGCGCTGTCTCCCTCGCACCTACACGGGGCGCTCCATGAGTGCGAGGGAGACAGCGCGACGTATGCACTGAGGACGGGAAGCATCGCCTACCGTGAACAAGAGACGGCCAAACTGGAAATCGAGCAAACATGCGCGGGAAGGAAGGAAGCCGCTCTTCTTTGGCGACAAACACCGTTATCTTGGAGGCGAGGCCGTTCCCATGGCCACGGCGTTACGTAACGCGACGTCCATGGAGCCACGGGGCCCCGCCCTGGCCCCACACTGCACATGCACCCTCCCCGACGACGTAAACAAACGAAGCGCTGGAACAGTGGGGCGGCTCGTTGCGTGCTGGAATTGATTGAGCCCGTTGTGGGTGGTTGGGCGTCCCAACGGGCCAGCAGGCTGTCGTGTCGATTGAAAAACAAGAACAAAGAGAGCAACAAACGCCACGGCGCGATGCACAGTGGGCCAGAAGACCGGTGGAGGCGGCCATCGCTAAACGGGACTTTTGAACAGAACGTGTGACCCCACCAATGGATGATTCCTCGTTCGGAGAGCAATCCGTTGATGGGGTCACACGATCGGTTCGAGTCCCATTTAGCGACTCCGGAGCTAAAAACACGTCCAGATCTTCGACCGCCTCCACCGGTCTTCTGGCCCGCTATGCGATGGCTTCCGAAAACCACCTCCAAGAAGAGTGGACCTTGAATGTCGTAGAGCGCTTTTAACGGCCGTGCTACGTACCAACTGCCTTAACGGGCTGGTTTCCCAGTGAAGCTGAGCGCTGACGAGTTTTTGGAGGTTCCGCGCGCAGACCTCAATTGCTTTAGTGTTGCTCGTCTCGCCGCGTCAGGAAATGAGCGAATGAATTAATGAATGGATGAATGGCGGGTGGAATGGGAGATGAATGGAGCGCGCAAATGCTGCATCATTGTCCAAAGTGCGGGGGAAGGCCCGGCAGGAGGAGGGGAGGGGGTAAGACGGTCTGGACGCCCTGCTCAGCCCTGCCTGCCCCGTTGTTTGTTCTGCCCCGGTGTTTGCAGTGTGGGGTGCATGCATCTCAGCGCCCACGCGGCTGCAGGCACACTGACTCCGAAGAGTCGTTTGCGTCGCTCTGCCTCTGTCGCACTCGTGGGGCGCTCCGTCGGTGTGCGAGAGAGACGGGTCGCTGTTTGGAACGAGCCTACTGGTGCACCGCCTCCTTGGCCTGCTCCGCCACTGTGTCTGGATTTATGTGCGCTATTTGTTATGGGCCGAAAGACGTTTTACGTCGCGAGGCTTAATGTGGCGCTTTGAGTCATCTCTTTTTCTCAGAGTGTGTGAGCGCTCCCATTCTGTTCCAGCAGCGATGAGCCAAGCGCTTCATTTAGACGATGAGACGGACGGACGGACAGACATCCGGTCGGGCGGGCGGGGCGGGGCGGGGCGGGGCGGGGCGGGGCGGGGTCGCCACCCCAACCCGCATTCCCACGACCTTCGGATCAACACGAGAAGATAGGACGTGGAGTCTGAAAATTTGACTCGGCGCTGCCGTCTCATTCCGTCTCATTCTATCGGCCACGACGACTGTCTCGCCGTCTCACTCTAATCGGCCACGACGCCGGCGCAGCAGGCGCAGCCGGAGAGCGCAACAAAAGCCGGAATATACATCACGGCGATAAAATCGAAATGGCGATTTGTGTGAAGCACTGCTGGCTGGCGTCGGCGGCCACTGGCACACTGGCACTTGGACGGAGCGCGGCGCGGCGCCGCGTGGGGCGGCCACGGACCAGCCCGGCCGTCGTTCGCGTCGCTCTGTCTCTCTCGCGCCGCTTCGGGACGGCCCTTGAGTGCGAGAGAGACAGCGCGACGAGACGATCCTTCGGACTCGGGCGGTCTATGCGTGCTGCGCCGCAGAGACGCTGGACGATGCACCACCGGCACGGCCTGCACGGCCTGCACGGCCTGCACGGCCCCAGACAACCGCAGACGGCGGCCTGCTCGGCTCCACGCACCACGGGGGACCCTAGGGGACTCGTGGGGACCCCCGCCCCACGGCGCGCCACTGCCAGGGCACTGCCAGGGCACCGCCACGCCCGGGTGTGACACTATGTGGGTGGGCGGCAGGGCGGCGCGGCCGTCGGAGCGACTTATGGGAAAGTGGAGCTGGGGCCGCGTCTCTCTGTCTCTCTCTCTCTCTCTCTCTCTCGCCGCAACGGGCGACGCCCCATGAGTGCGAGAGAGACAGAGCGACGATAGCGCTGTTTGCAATTATCAGCGTGCCGGCACGGCACGGTCCGAGCGAGGCCCGCCGCCGAAATGACTACTGTCGACGGCGTCCTCGCGGCCCGGCCGGCCTGCCCGTGGTGGGCCTGCCCGTGACCTTGACGGCGTGGCCGTCGCCGTGACTCACTTCCACCAGGTCGTGCTGCCCCCCTCGCTGCAGACTGATTCCGCACAGTTGTTCGTCGTCACTCCGCCTCTCTCTCGCACCGATACGGGACGCCCCATGAGTGCGAGAGAGACCGAGCCCTGCTCAGAATGGCTGAGCTGGATGCGCGCCTGGGCCAGGCCTGGGCCAGGCCTGGGCCTGGACGGCCTGTCCCCTGGGAGTCCCTATCCATCCAGCAGGGAGGCTGCAG